TGTGACTCAGCAGGGAGCCAGGATCCTTACTTGGTATACATCCTGAGCCTGTGCAAGAGGAGGGCATGGAGATGGTGTGGGCTTGGGCAGGGAGCTGATATTTAATATAAGGAGGGAAAAGAGGCTTGCTCCTTTTCCCTCTTTGCTCTTGCTGCTTTTGCTGTCTTCTGCTATCTTGAACTGTTGTCCCTGTGCCATGCCACCTTGCCTTGGAGCCAGCTGATTATAAACTAAAACCTCCATAAACTGTAAGCTAAAAAAAACCTTCCTTCCTTAATTTTGAGCATTGGGTATTTTGTCTTAGCCATGTGAGAAAAGCAACTAAGACACTAGTTGTTGGTTTTTTGGTTTTTGTTTTGTTTTTTTTTGTTGTTGTTGTTGTTGTTTTTCTGTTCTGTTCTTCCTTTTATTTCTTCCTTTTCTCTTTCCCTCCTGTCTTCTGTACCAGTGTCCCAAAGTTTGTGTGATCCTCTTTTATCCTCCAGCCTTGTTTCTAATCTCTTCCTCTTCTTCAATTTCTCTATTTTTCTCCCCTAAACCCTTTTAAATTTTCTCTGCAGAGGGTAAAATTGGCATATTGAGGGCTTATTTACTGCATACAATTTTCTGCTTTTAGATTTTGTTACAGGGGCTGGAGATTTAGCTCAGTGGCGCAGCACTTGCCTGGCAAGTGCAAGGTCATGAGTTCGATTCCTGGTACCGGAAAAAAAACAAAAACAAAAAAAAAGATTTTGTTATTAGCCACAAATATAGTTCAGACAGTTAAAGGTGGAAAATTACTGGTTACCTCAGTTTATTGCTTTCTAGGCTGTGTTTGATGCTATTGTTATTGCTGATTGTACCACTTTAGCCAAAGTGACATAGTTGTTCTAACTAGCTGTTCTTCCTGGTATACCAAGATTGAGATTGCCTAACAGTCATAGACAATACTGTGGGCCAGTGCCAAAGAACCACGGGCTGGACTTCTCATCCCCAATAAAATGAAGAGGTAGGATCTTGCAACACATTCAAAACCCAGCTACACTTGGAAGATATCTCTGAGAAGTAGTCATTTCCTAAAGACTCGAAATACTATCAATAAAGCTACTCACCATAGGCAATTGATAAGCATCAATCCAGGAATTAAACTAAAAAAGAAA